CGTTTTCGGACCCCTCGAGAGCACCCCGTCCCCCCCCCCCCCCCCCCCCATCATGCACGTCAGCTACCCAAGCAGTCATGATTGGCAGGTTATTTTTTACGCCATGCTGTAGAGGCATCTGTCGCTCGGTTTCTTGCATCAATCGAGCGCCAAAGTCTTCAATGCTTGGCGTGATACATGGCTTCCCCTCCCCTATCGTGAACGGCGCCAACCCACAGATAGTTCATCAAAAGGTCTCGCGTCTCGGCCCAGGACTCGACGCCACAAAGCCCCAGGTTCTGCCACAGGACGCTGCGCAGCCAGCTCTCCCTCTCAAAGTCCAACATGGACACACCCGCGATCATGAGCAGCCACACAATTGTCCCCGGCGATAGCGCCCACGCGAGCTCCGGGCGCGCCAGCTCGCGCCTGAGGGCGTCCGCAAGGTGGCCGTACTTGACGCCGAGGCAGCCCCAGGGCAGGAAGACGGGTTCGGCGAAGGCGAGCAGGCCCAGGCGCACGGCCTCGTCGCCGGACCCGGGCGCGAAGCGCATCGCCGTCAGGCGGTACATGGACGCGGCCATGCAGCACATGTAGGTCTGCGACGTCATGCGGTTCTGGCCCCCGGACGAGGCGGCCGCGAAGTTGGCCACGGCGCAAAAGTCGGACAGCTCCCGCCACACCCGGCCCAGCTCCGGGTCGTCGATGCTGAGGTCCATGTGCCCCTGGGTCGGCGGCCACGTGGGCGGGGCGGGAACGGAGATGGAGGCCGTCGCCGACGCGAGGGCGCGCTTCTGGAGGAAACGAGAGAGGTCCGGGTATTCCAGGTACACCTGCTCGCCACCAGGAGACGATTTTGGAATGACAGGGGGCAACCCGGAAGAAATTGCGACGGCAAGATCGCAGCTGTGGAGAGTTAGCCAAGAACCAAGAACGGGGAGAAAAAAATGCACACGACAAGCAGGCTTACCGCATTATCTCCAAAAGAGGCCTGGGCGACGGCCAAAACGACCCCACGCCGCCCCGGAGCAATACTAGCCTGCCTATGCCCTCGGTGTGGACCCTGGCTGACGCGACGTCCCCGGTCGTGAAGCAATACCAGGCCAGCATCATGGCGCACATGATGGTGCTGATGGACAGCTTGGAGCGCTCGTCGTCCTCGTCCAGCCGGCGGCGCAGCGCCGTGAGCGCGCGGGAGGCGTGGAAGGTGGAAAGCCTGTTCATCTCGGCGCGCTTGCTGCTCCCCTGCGGCAGCACGCCCTGCCAGGCGCGGCAGGCGCCCGAGATGACCGAGTGCAGGTAGGCCTGGTCCGCGACGATGGGCAGGATGTACGTCTGCGACGTCTCCTCGAACGACAGGCACATGTGCAGCGGGTGGACCATGTGTATGGATATTTGCTGATAGACTAGACAGGGATCAGGGGGCGGTCAGCTGCGCTGACTTGGACGCGGGGGAGACGGGTGCTCCCGCGAGAGGGCGTGAACGGGGAGATGGGCGCAGGGTGTGTGGTGGCCTCGCGCGTGTGCCGTGCAGGAATGGCTGCTCACATTGTAGGAAGAGGACCACAGAATGCCGCTGGACGTCGGGAGGAAGGGCCAAGGCGGCAAGCACATGTCCGAAGGGTGGGGGGACGGCCCATTCTACCGCTCCCCTGGTATCGGCACCCCTTGCGTGTCTCTGTGCCACTGCCGAGTCCTCGCTGCCATCGCTGCCATCGCTGCCATCGCTCCTCGAGCTCCTCGAGGGCCGGTTACGTTTAGTAGGGGAAGGCAGTGCCGGGTTCCGTGGCGGACGTGTCTTTCCCGTGTTCTTCCCCAGCATGACGTGCCTGCGAATCAGCTTCCGCGTGTCCGGGCTCGCCTTGCCTGTGGCGGCCGGATCCATGACAAACTGTAGTCCTGCCGCTGGAGACCACACACGGGGGTCGTTTTAGTCTCGACCTCGGCGTGTACAGCATGCATCTCAGTGCCGGGATGGCAGGGCGACCCATCATTCAGCTCGCCGGGGAGGAGGGCCGCCACCAAAGGGCACCACTGACCTGGACGCGGACGGGACGCGGTGGCGGCGGGAGCCATTTCCAAAAAGGGGATATAATCAACTGCTCTGGCCAAAGCTTGGACGGTAAGACAGATGATAGGGCGGATTGGGTATGTCTGTCCGAATGTGGCATTGAATCAGGGCGGGAACGCGAGAAGCGAGCTGCAACCCGCGGCGAAGAACGTCCGTTAAATTCGAGTCCAGAGGCCAGCCATGCCCACCGATGCCCACCATCGACCTTCCGTGCACCAATACCAAGCCCCCAGTCCTGCCCGTATTGCCTGCCCTTTTGAGCCTAGCCTGCCATGTTGCGGGGCTTATGTCAGCCTCTTGGCTCTTGGCGCAGTGACCAAAGTTCCCCTGTCTGTCAGGTTATCAGTGGGCCAGCCCGCCGGAAACACTCTTATTTCCGACTCTTCGTCTGCGCGTGTGCTTGTTCCCACGCCTGGTTTGCCAGCCGAGACAGGGGCAAAGCGACAATCTTGACGCTGGCGCCGCCACTACGTGCCTAATTGGGCTTGCTTGGCCCGCGGGCGTCCCGCCGGGCCGGAAACTTCGGTGCATGTTTGCAACGAGAGCTGCCAAACGAGACCACATCGTGGGACTCTCCATCTTGGCATTGGGGGCTTTGAAGCATGACGACAGACACTTCGGGATTATTCTGACGATATCTTCACTATCTCCGCGTTAGACTCCAGGGCTTCAGATCACGGCCACCCGGGAATAACATCGTAACGAGTCGCCCATCAACACTCGAGATGGGAGCTTTCAAGCTGACAAGTGTGGATACGCTTGGTTCACAGGCTGCGACGCAATCTAGCTGGAGGCTAAAAGGGTGAAGCTATTTGGGAGCGTAGAGAAGCAGAGGCGAGTGATAAGACTTGAAGTAATTAGCCGAGTGGCCGTCGGCTTCTTGTGGAGGAATCTTTACTTCCTGCGATCTGGAAGCGCGTGTAAGCACCTGATCGCGTGTCATGTGAGGTGACGTGACAGAAACAAGATAGTGGAAAAGTCAGGTGTGAGTCCTGCATATATCAGGGTGTATTGGGGTCTTGGCCAAGTTGGATGGAACCTTCCTTTCGCCCATAGGCCCTATCAAAGAGCCCGCCACCCGCCATACCAACCAACGCATGAAATCTTGGGCCTTGTATTGGGACAGGAGCGTATCTTTGAAAGGGTAGAGACAGTTCAGGGGTTTGACGTAAAGTATAGCGAGCCTTTGGGATTTGTGGACGAATTGCGCAGGAGGAAACGAGCCTGTTTGCAAGAAGGAACCTCGAACGGGCCTATATATACGTGGGTTGCAAAGGGCTGGCCTTGGTGGAGAAACCCCCGGCATTATATGATGGGCGCCTTAATGTGAGTTCGAAGATCCCGTAGGACAGGGACTTGGAATCCCTGGACATTGTGGGTAGCCAGCGGCATCTATTGTATAGCCACCTGTTGCCTGGAGGCCACGCATTTTCCAAATTTGTAGCCCAGTAATCACATGTCACCCATGAGCCTTCATGTGAAGCCTCACGAACACTGACAACTGGGCTTGTTGTCTGGCACCTCAGCTTGCATTGGGTACATCTTGCCAGCCCGAGAACGGCGGCTTGGTGTTCTAAATTTATCTCGGAAGGAGCATAGCTCGACGTGCTGACGCCATTATCTCACACTTTAGCGAGGAGCTGAGAGGTAGCGTAGTGCCCAATGCTCCTGCAAAAAAGAAACACCAGCTTGGTTGAGGTTGGTGACGGCAGAGTGTTGCATCTATCCATGGGGGTGAGGCCAGGGTTCACAGCAGGTGATTCCTCCAGACAAGAATAGCAAAGGGGCGAGCAGTTTTCTCAGATCTCGGCGTTGCTGAAGATCGCATCAACCACCCAACCAGCGAACTGGGACTAGCTTACACGGCGAGCGCGTTCTAAACCCAATCCTTTCGCCCCTAAAACGATTTTACCAGCTCCCAGGAAGGGTAGACAAGGGTGGCGGCCAGTTGCTATAAAAAGATTAAGCTCACCAGGTGGCTGCGGGATATTCCCAAAGGCGGTCGAGGGAACTAGCATCGGATGCGGGGACGGGATCGACTGAACGTGGGGTCCGAAAGACAGCATTCATGGTGGGCAGGCAGACCATCATGGACTTTTCCACGACAAGAAAAAAAAAACAGAATCCCGGGGGTAGGCACCCCGGCTTCTGGGACCAGTTCGGGGCCCTGATTCGGTTCGATGCGGGCGAGGTTGTGATGTGATTCGCTCGTGTGCGAAAGTGGTGGCTGCGGCCCACATGAACCCGTTCGTCTGCTTCAACGTTCGGGCAGGGCGTCATGGCTGCTCGCGAGGACGGCGGGACGAGACGGGCAAGGTGGGAGCTCCTCTTTCAGCCTCACCCGTGGAGAGTGGGCGGGGCGGGCCTTTGGCGCCTTTCGCAGTCAAGAAGTCGCTTTGTGCGTCACCGGCGCGCGCGCCCGCCCCGCCCACACACGTCTGCCTCTGGCCGCGGGTGACTGTTAATTTTACATGGGGCGGCTGTGTGCTGCGCTATGCCTGTTGCGATCACAAGATTCGATCTCCCCCATTTTTGTAGAGGATGCATGTCTCGGCAGAGATCTGGTGGCTGGGGCGGTGCTATTTCCGCCGAGCTTGACTTTTGGTGTGGTGGGTGGTAGGAAATGTCTCCAGTCTCGTAGGGCTGGCTGGCCTCAATTTTGTGCCAGACGGCTCCTGTTGACAAAATTAGACGTCGCCTCGGTGGGGAGGAGTCCAGCTCGGTGGGGAGGAGTCCAGCTCGGTGGGTGGGTGGGTAGGCGGGCGCTGAAGGAGCAATTGAGTGCTCGCCGATTCGCTTGACTTGAGCCAAGGAATCCCGCGCGGGGGTGGGACGACAAAGCACGACAAGGTGGGACGCAAAGGATGGGATGGAAAACTACGGACAAAAAATATGGAGAGTCGAGGAGGATGCGCTCGCTGCTATTCCTGACTTCAGTTTGTGCGACCCAAACCATTACACCAACCCAGCCCTACGGGCCCGGCATCTGCATCTCTGCGTCACGTCGTGTTAGTGCCTTCTCGGTCACGGGTCAGCTGTGCAGGCCAAGGCTCCCACCCAGGCCTCGGTGGTGGTGTGGCGCACAACCCCCCTTGGCGAGTTCTGCGTTCTCGCGCAGACGAATCGCAGGGGCACAATCGAGGCCTTGACCGTTGGGCCTGTAGGGCATTTTTGTTGCACATTTTTTCACCTGGCCCACGCTGCTGCGGCCGTCAAGGCATTCCATCCCTTTGGGCGCGCTCTGTGTAAATAAGGCCGGCTGTGGGTTGCCCCGATCTAATGAGTCGACAAGAAGTGGGTCATCCATGTCGGTATCTAGATGCCTAGCAAGTTGGCCAGGCATCTAAATGTTCAATGTTACGTTATCGGATAGCACCGGCAGTCGTTTCTTGGGCGCGCGCGCCTGGGCAACGATACGGGGAATACGGGCAGAGGCTGGGGGTTGCCTTTTCCGGCTGGGGCGTTGGTCCATCTCTGGTCACGAGTGCGGCTCTTCAGTGTCGAGCAGGTAGGTCCCAGGTAGCACTGTAGGATTGCGAGCCGCCATCGCTGTGGTGCAGCTCGCTAATCCGCCCAGGGATCTCTCTGCACCTTGTGGTTCGTGATCCGAATTAGCATCTCCAAAAAGCCCCCAAAAACACGGGCCAGCTATCCGATTAATACCAGCAGAGCAATCCAAACTATGCATGGCAACGCTCACATCCAGAATTGGATCGGCAACCTCCACGACACTCGTTGGCGCTGGAAGCTGCTGCCGAATGACGCTCAAGTTGTTGGTGGGGCCTTCGCCGCCCCGGGGCATCAAACGCGGCGGTGCCAGGAGAATGACAAGCACGTCTGGGGCTAGAACCGGCTTCTGGGCCCGGGGCGATTGAAACCTTCGGTCGAGGACCCATCCACTGCCGTACGCCCTCCTCTCACAGCGCTCGCGTTCCCTGCTCGGCCACGCCCGCCTTGGGCAAACTATGTACTGCTCAGCTGCCCGCGTCTCGGTGAAGAGCCTGCGTAAGAATTCAGGCAGCACTTCAGAGTCAACGAGCTAGTGTCGACCGCAATGCCGTGACCCAGTATCCGGAGACCAGGGCGGTTGACCATGAATAGCCGTCACGACACAACAGAGGCTGGCCTCAGGTATAAGGAGCCATCGGCTGCCCCCCTCTAATATGTTGTCCAGCTAATACTAACAGCTTTTAAGTGAGCATAACATCCCACGTCTTCCGAGACATCACCACACCACACCACACCACACCACACCACACCACGACGTGATTCACACTATTGCCTCACGCTCGGTATTCACCAACCCATCCCACCAACTCAGCGGTGCCATCTACCGTGTCACCTGTCCTCACTCGATATGCGACTGAGCACTGCCGACGGCACCGCCCGTCTGGGCCAGGTCCAGATTCGCTCGGTGCAGCAGGTCATCGAGCTGGACGCCGGGAGTGACAGCGGACGCATGTGCGGCGGCCCGTTTCCGTCGTCCTTCTTCACCTTCTCGTCATGCGACACCGAGGGCAACGTCGCCTGCCCCACGGCCCTGCACGCGGTTGCGGGCCAGATGGCCATCGTGGTGCCCTGCATGAACGAAGACGTGGCCACCATCGAGGGCGTCCTGTCCGGTATCCCCCACGACAGCCTCGTCATCTTGGCCTCCAACAGCCACCGATCCGGACCCGGCGGCGACGCCTACGCCCACGAGGTCGACGCCTTGAAACGCTTCTGCCGCGCCAGCGGCCGCTCAGCAATTTCCATCCATCAGCAAGACCCAGGCCTTGCCAAGGCTTTCAAGTTGGCAGGCATGCCCGAGATAATCGACAAGAGCACGGGCCTGATCTGGAAAGGCAAGGGAGAGGCGATGCTCATGGGCACCGCGCTCGCGATAGTGGCCGGCCGGAAGTACGTGGGCTTCATCGACGCAGACAACTTTGTCCCCGGCTCGGTACGAGAGTACTGTGAGGCCTTCGCCGCGGGGCTCCACCACGCCCAAGAGGGCCGACAGAAAGGCATGGCCATGGTTCGCCTCAGCTGGCGGTCCAAGCCCAAGGTGCGCAACGGAAAACTCGAGTTCAGCAAATCGGGCCGAAGCTCGGTCATTACCAACCGTTGGCTTAATCAGTTGCTTATGGCTCAGGGAGGGGCCGAAGAGGGGAATCGCGACATCATCGCCACGGGAAACGCGGGCGAACACGCCATGTCCCTGGAGCTCGGGGCAAAGATGAGGTTCGCGAGCGGCTTCGCCGTCGAGCCGTTCCAGTTCCTCGACATCATGGAGCAGTTCGGCGGGAGCGCCTCGGTACCCTCGACCAAGGAAAAGACCCAAGGACGGAGGCGGCACGAGCAACAGCAACCCGTCAAGATCATCCAGATCGAGACCCGCAATCCACACTTCCACCAAGACAAGGGTGGCGAGCACGTCAAGGACATGTGGGCGCAGGCCCTGGGCGTGATCCACAACTCGACCGTGACGCCGCCATCTCTCAGGCACGAGATCGCGGCCTTCATGCTCGAGAACAAGGCTCTGCCCTCGGGCGAGGTCGCGCCAAGCCCGCAACAGACGCGCGTGTACCCACCGGTCGAGACCTTGGACATGGCCCGCCTCTGGGCCCTGATGTGTGCCGATGCCGCCTCGCTGACCATTTTCGGCGACCCGCTGGCTGGAGGCGCCGCGGAAGGATCCGAGCCGATGCTCGGCGTGGTGACGCTGCTCGAGAGCGTCAAGGAGCGGATTTGGAACCTGGTGGGCACCCTGCCGCTCAACACGCACAGCGGAGGCGTCCGCCTTGGCTCCGCATAGCAGGCGGGACGCGCCTATGCTAGCACGAGGGGAGCCTGGGTGGGGGGTTGAGGGGGATAGACGGCCTGCCGGCAGGCGATTAGGTAGCGATGCCACAAAACTGCATGCGCTGAGCGCACAACTAGACTAGACGACAGAACCCGGGCACCTGGAGGACAGCATGTCATTAGATTTGGTCAGGCATTTGGCGTTGGAGGCAATTTCTGGATATTTCCATATCACTTTTAACCATTGGTTTCTCACAATCATGTCCCCCTGTGGAGAATTCGCACCTGAGCTACTGGCCCTGGCCGCGTCGAGTTTGGAGAGTTCATGTTCCCGAGGGGTCCGCTGAACCATGGCGAGATGCAGAGACAGGCCACCGCTTCAGTGAATCCTTCCCGTAAATATTGCCGAAGGATTCCGGGGGTGGAACCGATCCTTGTACAAATAGTTTGAGCGGCGCGGTTCGCGGGGTGGGAGTGAGAGAGCGTTCAGCTCACCAAAATAGCCCGGGTTTGGTTGAAGGAGGCACGAGGTGGTGTCGAGGACAGCGACGGTGGGATGAAGATGGAGAGCGGGGTACTCTAGGCCTCCGTCCAGGGCACTTGTAGGCTCTAGCAGAAACATTGGCGGTGCACAATCCCACGTGCCACCTCGGAAGCTGCCCCATAACCCCAACCATCCCACTGAAGCCGACCGCAACGACACAGTATTAGTGCATGCACATTTAGTCCTGATAGGCCCCTGCACCGGCCTACCTCCGACGCAATCCGAAGAAAACCCAACATCAACGAGACAGCGATAACCGATGTCAACTCCGTTATTGTTTCTCCCGGCTGCCGCCGTGGCCCGAAGCTCCCGGCGTCTTCTTTGCCCAGAGCAAGGTAGGGATACAAAAGTGGCAAGTGCCCCTTTCATCCCTGCAGACAATACTCCGACCCCCTCAGCTTCCGATTCAGTTGCAGACATTATCCCATTGAAACATTTCAGCGCAGAGCTATCGAGTCTCCCTGCATTCAGCGCGCACCAGTAGCCATCGCAGATAAGCGCCCGCGGCGTCATGATATCACAAACGGGGAGAAGGTCCGGCCAGTTTGCATGCAAGCACTCGAGCAGGCACACATGGCATAGTTTCCCCTTGCGTCTGCTGTGTCCTTCCCCGCTTTCTCGGCCATGCTAGCACCATCATGGCTGTAAGCCCGGACCGCCGCCACCAAGTCGGGGTTAACAGCTTTGCTGTGGACGGATGGGGAATAGTCTTGCCATACCGGCGGGTTCCCGCCGCCGCCGCGCTGACGCATAGCGCGCCGGATAGGCGGCTTCCATGTCACGGGGGTTAGTCCCGGGAGCTTCCACCACCTCCAACCGACAAGGGCGCGGTCCTTTTGTTCCCAACACCTTCCCACACGGACCTCCCGCAGTGACCATCGCAGAAGTGGCACGGATGCATGCATGGTATCTCCCTAACCCAGGAAGGCCTGGGCCAATGCAGCTCGGTGGTTTCTGCGCCGAGGCTGAGTGGTATCGACTTGCCTGTTGTCTCCCTATCGCCTCGCGACTATAAATATGTGAGGCTGCTACACTCTTCAATGGCTTTTTGCAGACTAAAAAACATAGCTCCAATACCATTGCTGATTCTCCTCATCAGCTGTTCTCCTCAAGCAGCAAGCACCGCCGCTCGACTTCGCACTTGTAGCCATCGAGAGTTCTTCCAAAGCCATGAAGCCCTTCTGCATCATCACCGCCGCCCTCTTCGGCGCCTCCTGCGCTCTCGTAGCGCCACCCAGCCCTCCCAGCCCTCCCGGCCCGCCCGGCCCGGCGGGATGCCGCCCTCAAGACCCGCCCACCGTCGCCGAAGTTCAGGCGCTGCTCGGGCAGTTCGGCGTACTCGTCGCGAGCCGCCGCGTCAACGAGACGCTGCCGCTCTTCACGGCCGACGCCACGTGGTGGGTGGTGGGCGACCCGGCGCGCGTGCCCTTCTCGGGCGAGCGGCCGGCCGCGGAGCGCGCCGCGTCGGCCCAGCGCAGCTTCGAGGGCTTTGCCGAGTTCCGCACCTCCACCGTCTCGGCCGCCTTCACGCCCGAGCGCTCCGTGCTCGAGGCCCACCTCGAGGGCACCAGGCCCGACGTCCCGGCCTTCCCGCTCTACAAGCAGGACATCGCGCTGGTGTTCACGACGGTGCGGGTCGCGAGCTGCGCCGTCAAGATCAAGAGCATCAGGGAGTATTTTGACTTGGTTACACTAATGGCATACGCCAATGCTACGGGTCTAGAGCCGTGATTGCTTGAGGGGTGCGGGGGGTTTTTGTCTCTGGTCTTTCAGCACACGTCTTTGTCGATACGAGGTAGAATATCGCTCTCTATGCGTCAGGGGGGTTTCGGAGGTCTTCTTATTTCTTCCAGTACGCCGTAGGCAATAATGTCTTTATGAATTTGTCTGTCCATGTCCACATCCCTACCAATTACCGTTTGTAACCAGTTTCCAACTTCCCCCATGCAGCCATCTGTGCTGATCAGTGTCGTCCTACCGTCCGCCTCTGAGCCTCGAAGGACTTGTAATACGCCGCCAGAAGATGCATTAGCCCAGCCCCGAGCTACACCGCTTCGGTTCTCGAGTCGCAGTATGGTGATAGAGCGCAGCACTCCCTCGTCCTTGTATGCTCGTCGTTTCTGTCACCTCCTTTGCTAATCGGGCTCAGCAAAAGATCGTTGCCAGCAAATATCGGGACGCTCGACTTATTGGCACATCTTCCTTCGTTGGCTAGCCTATTGTCGAACTTTGCTCTTCCGTTTCTCACGCGGGCTCCTTGTACACTCGGGCTGACAGTCCCCCTAGCGCACGCTGTATACAGGTGGAGCGCGTGCGGGGCCGCTGAAACTTGGCTGGACCGGACTTTTTAGGCAGCAAAGTTAAGCCCAGGCGGCAGCTGAATCTTGACGGAGCATGAAATCGCGTATCCTTCGCTCGTTCCTGACATGCCCGTTTCCTCACCATCAGTATCGTTCCAAGATAACAGAACTCACCGACCAGGACGCAGTCAAAGACGGCAAGATGGCCGGCGCGGCGGCGACCCAGTTTGGCCAGATGCGTGATCTGCTCAGATGCGTTGGTGATCACGTATGGAGATCCCTTGATATTCACCAGTTCTGCGCGATATGGTCAGCTAACCTCGGGCTTTCGCCCGGCTGCAGATTCGGAACAAGACCCAGCTCCGCAGACTCTGTCTTGTGAGCAAGGTCTTCAACGGTGCCTTCACGCCAGCCCTCTACTCCGAGATGGAGATCGTGACGCGCGAGGACGAGAGGGAGAATTTCCTGAACGCGATCGCATCCAACCCACATCTCCACCATGTGCGCCGCCTTCAGTGCAACTTCAGCCATCCGGGCCCTGTGAATGACCTCGTGCGGTCGCTCGTGGAGCGTATGCCTCAGCTCCAAGAGTTTGAGTAAGCTGTCATCCGTCCACGCAGCCCTGTGTCGCGACATGATCACGGCTGCCCGCCGAGGCCCGACGCGTCTGGACAAGGTCGCTAACCTGAACTGTAATGAATAGGTGGGATGGCGGCTGCTTGCACCAAGAGACCATGTCGGCCTTGATTCGTTCATGCCCTGAACTGAAGGCCTTTGTGACCATCTTCGTCCCCGGACAGCCGAGCGGCTATGAGGAGCCCGTCGAGTTCGGGGAGTTGGACGAAGCCAGGGCCGGAGGGGAGGCCATTGAGGACGACACGATTGTGGCAGGGATGCGCCATCTCGCCCGATTCGCGGGGCTCACCAAGCTCACCGTGGGGGAGATGTACGAGGCCCCCGTGGCTGGCACCGAGGGCCGCTGGGCCGAGGATATTGTGGAAATCCTCCTTGCCTGCCCTGATCTCGAGGAGCTGACACTGAGCTTCAGCGAGCACTGCATCGAAGATAGCCAGGGCGCCTTCGACAGAGGGTGCGGAGAGTTCTTCAGGCTCGTATGCTTCAACTACAAGAAACGCGCCGCCCGTCCCTTGCGACTCAAGGTCCTCCGCCTTGGGCTCGGAGTCATCCTGCGCCGCGATCCAGCCACCAAGCTGGTGCCTCAAGACATCTCGGGCCTGACGGACCTGTCTGTGCTTGAGGAGCTCTACGTCGACTGCCGAAAGACCAGCCCCTTTGGTAACCACGGCCTCGAGGAGGGCCTCGGGGCTCGCAGGATTCCTTGGGACTTGTTCACGCCCGATTCAGCCCCATCTCTTGCGCGAGTAGGCCTGTTTCCTTGCCCGAGAAACCTGGACTACCTCCCGATGCCCCTCTTCTCGCTTCTACAGCTCCCGCCCGACAGCGAGCTTCATCAGTCCGAAGTCCGCAGACGGCCGCCCTCCCAGAACAACCAGGTCACTCTTCGTCTGTGGGCCTTCGCCGCCGTCGCCATCTGTCCGTCCATATACACCAGGAATGTAGGCTTTATCAGCTCGACCATAAAGACACACAGGGCGCCGGTCGCGTCCGTGATGGTGGCTGCGCACGAGGGTTCCCTGCCAGATACGAACGAAGCCTGGGAGGCGTACATGGGCCTGGCCTCCAAAGCAAGCAGCGTCTTCCTCCAGGCGACGGTGCGCGACCCCAGGGACGGGCTCACGTACCAGGAGCAGCTGGAGGCCATGCTGGCGCGGACGCCGGGCCTGCGCGTGCTCGTGGTCGGCGCGCCGTGGGTGTGCATGGCGCAGCCGTTCCGCCACTCGACGGTCGAGCAGATAGAGGCCAGGGCCGCCGCGAACTCGGAGCACAACAGGCTGGCGAGCAGCCTGCGGTGGCGCAAGGCGCTGGCCCGGCGCCTGGCCGAGACGGGACGGGGCCTACGCATCGTCAAGATCGGGCGCCACGCGTGGAGGGTGCAGCGCGGCGTGGGAGACGTCGGCGCGGACCAGGTCACGCTGCTGAGCATGGACCGCTACGAACAGCGGCACCTGGAGAACTTCCGGCCGCCCAGCCACCTGTATCCCGAGTTCGTCATGTTCAGGATTTGTTCCAGTCTTGGCCAGAGGCACGAGTACGAGGCCATGATGCGGTGATGGTCAGAACTGGCGGGCTGGTTTCTGTGGTTATGGTGGAAATACCCAATGGAGATCCCAATTGGCAGGGATTAACCAGGGGCCAAAGCACGACTGTGGTGCCGATCATTACATAGATAGAACCACGATGTTGCCGTGGGAATCAATTGTAAAACAGCAGCAGATGTACCAGACTCGGCACGAATAGCCTGGTTCCGACTTGGGATGTAGCAACACCGTACCTTGCAGTTTACTGTGCGGAAGTGGGGACCACAGCAGGTAATTGGATTCAGCCAAAAGCAACCAGCAAACCTGGAAACATGGAAACCTACCAGGAAATGGCGAAATAACACGCTATGCACATGTCCCTGACAAACATAAAGGCTAGCACGCAAAGTTTGGAAACAAAACCTTCCCCAACCAGGATTACCCTTGTCGAAGCTCCTGACAAGAAGGCGGAGCCAAAAGCTTGTCCCCTGGCCGAATCGCTGAACATTCTGGAACAGCCACAGAACCTGCCTGTGCGGAAGTAAGAAAACGGCCAGCGGCAGGGAAGCCTCCCGTCTTGGCCCCCGTCTTGGTCCACGCCTTCCCCACATCGCGGGGCCGGTCACTCTCGTCGCATATAGGGGATCTCGTATCCCAAAAATTGGGTGACGTGAACGCACCGCTGCGACCCCACTGCCGGCGGCAGGGTGGGCTCCCGTCTGTATAAAAGACCCGGCACACCAGCTCCTTAGGGAACAGGACTTCTTTCTCTCCCACCCTCGGCCTCCCAGCCAGCTCTACACACTACACTCGCTCTCGCATCCTCCCCTGCAGATTTGCCAGTACGACGGTCCATAAGACTTGCACTTGATAGCATTTTCTGCAGCACTCCTCCGACAAGATGCACTTCTCTGCCTTCCTCGCCGCCACGGCCGCCGTCCTGGCCAGCGCCAGCCCGATGCCCATCTCGAGCATCGCCGCCGCCGAGGTCGACAAGATCTGGAACGTCACGGGCTGGGAAGCCGGCTGCAGCCGCAGCGGATGCTACGCCGGTTAGTTTCCCCCACCTTGTCGCCTCCCCAACTCACCCGTCCGGACACGTTGGCTAACACCGCGACGCCAGGTTTCGCCGTCTCCGCGCCCGCCTCCACGGGCAACCCCGCGGCGCCGGCGCTCAACGCCACGTGCAGGATCGAGAACGAGGGCGGCGCGTACAGCCCGTGCGAGTGGAAGGGCGACGAGCCGGCGGCGGGCAGGCGCGTCGTCTCGCGCCTGCTGCCGGCGATCCGCGTCGACGGCGAGAACACCATCGCCCGCTTCGAGGTCAGCTTCGTGTACCCGCACGGCACCACGCCCGGCGCCTACTACAACTGGACCGCCCAGGGCAACTCGTCGTATAACCAGGCCGTCGAGCCGCCCAAGAACTTTGCCATCCCCGTTACCAAGATCTTCGGTATCGCCTAAGAGGGGTTTGACGACGATGGGCGCGCTGTTGGAGTAGATGTGAGTTGGAGTTGAAGCTGTGTGGTTAACAGGACAAGGGTGGAAGGCGATAATACTGTGTATAATAATACCTACTCAAGCGTAATGGAGCTTGCCCGTGCGGCTATTCATCCAGCGCCTCTCCCTCCCCTGGCATGCGTCGGTGACATGTTTATGAGTTGACCTGCGCTTTTCCAAGTCTCGTCAAGGCCAGCCACGTGATACTCGGTTTCTTTTTGTTTCTTTTCCCGCTGCCTTTCCTGCGTAGAGTATATCGTCTTGAGTCTCCTCAGTTCCAATCACATCCGGATTTCAATCTTTCTTGTCTTCATTGACAGGTCCAATGTTACGACAACGCCGCCCATTCGCCCGCATGTGATGCGGCTTTTCGTGCTGAAAACCCTGTTTCGAATTCGGCCATCAAGGGAAAAGGAAAGATGGGATAGAACGACTAGTGGCGCCTTCCCGGTATGCGAATGACAACCGGCTGGGACAGGCGACAATGGGCACTGCACACATTGCGAGTGACTGCGCCCTGAGCGGCACTCACTACCACACCGGCTTCAACGGGGGATTGCGTGATGTAGCTCACACCACCGGCATTTTGGTCCTGGTGCAGGCCTTGAGCGCCTGAGCAGCCAGGCACCAGATATGTACGACCGGGCCCATGATTGTGTCGCGTATGACACCTAGATGTAGCATCCGAGGAGGCGTATTACTCTGACAAGGCAGTATCCACGCGTGCGCCGTGACTGGATATGTCGCACTTACAAGGAGCTCGACCTACTGCTCGATTGATCCATCGTAGGGCAGGGCCGTGAGAACCTCAACAGAAATAATGACTAGAGCAACCCCATCTTGCCGTTCTCGTCGCGTAGCCTGTAACGTAGGACATTATGGATGATTCCACAAACCACCCGAAACAATGATCTGGAGGTGGTAGCATAGGTTGAGTGGAGATATGGTAGTTGGTTTAGTTTGGCCTTCCCTGGAAGCATTTTGGAGTAACCACGATTTAAAACCCTGGAATGTGCAGCTAGATATCGATAATATTCCACTTCGTTCTGTCTAGAAATCCGTGAGCGACACAGCACTCGCACCTATCTGCTTCAGTGTCACTGAGAACCGAAACATGGAGGAAGTGACAGCGCTTGCCTTCTCTTGTCACAGGCGTGACCAGCACCCTTGGCATTACGAAGAGTTTGTCTTGCGGCCCAACGACGACATGCAGGCTCTCTTTGGAGCCCGTTTCGCACGCCCTGCCTAGTTAGGACAAGGAATCGCAGATACTGATACTAATGTCAGCGCAAGAGCGCAAGACGGCAAAACCGACGAATACATGAATCTCGGGCCGGCCGCCCATGTCAGCTAAGGCGAGCGCTGTTACGCAAGGCGCGGCATCAATTACAGCGGTGGGTTTGAAGGTGGTGCAAAACCAACACGACAGCGAGCACCGCATCCAGGCCGTGACCGACTGTTAGGCCGAGCGAGACAACGAGGTGAACTGGGCTGTCGAGCTTACCAACGAGCACGATGTTCCGCCAGGGTAAGCCCCGGCCCCCACAGTATGGTTGACATGCCATCTCGCACCGAGAAAGAGTTTCCCGAAAATCCCAACGCACCCCTTGCGGTTCTCGGGTCACCGGTCACATTACGAGTGAGCGGCACACACCATTCCGTGTTGGCGCAAAACCTAATCTGCCATTAGGTTTCCACCCATCGGTATCGAGACCATCACCAAGATTCCCACGTCGCCATCTGCTCCCGCGAATAGCCCCAATAATCTTACCCAGCAACAACACAGCCTCCCCAGGACACGGACGTGGTTAAAGCGCCCTGCTAGGTCGTCTGGCTTGTCTGCAATGTGCATATATGGCCTGCCAGCAGGCTTCCTGCCCAGTACAAGATGTCGAATGCTGCGCCCTAGCTGTCAGCGGCCACTGGGCCGAGTTTGATCTTGCGGTGCGGAGCCTGCCACCACGCCACCACCACCACCATGTCCACCCAGGGTCCTCGGGACGTTGCTTGTCCGACTGTCGAGCCACGCTTGCTCGCGCATGATGCTGCCGCAGGCCTTGTGGGCGCCTGCGCCCATGCTTGTATACCTTTGGGATTTGCGGATTTGCGACCCGAGCCTCCGGTCATTGTTGGAATATGTCCATCTCTCTTCTTGCCACGTCCCAGCCGTGCCCGGCTCCTCCCTCCCGCGTATCCGACGGCGGAATCTCTCACTGAGGCCACTCTTGAACCGACTTTGCGAGAGAAATAGGTCTACCCGGACAGCCTAGGTTGCATCAAAGCGGGGGAAGAACAATAACCCCTGATAGAGAAGCCAGATGTGGTTCATCACGCCGTCCTTTGAGCGATATGCGCTGGCTGCCATGCCTCGCCTTGCTCCCCCTTTGACCCCATCAAGCAGTGCGCTTTTGCCGACGCTGTATAAGCGAGCCATACACGCTTCCCCCTTTGGCTGCTGCCTACGACCCACGGCCCACGGCCCACGTCCGCCTCCATCTCTATCTGCACTCTGTCAGTCGGTGAAACGTGATAATAATCTCTTGAGCAGGCAGCCATCTCAGCTTGCATAAAGCCGGCCCACCTGCCGCAAACGGACATCAGCGACGTGTTGCTGGAGCCCGCGATGGGTCCCCGCTGACGGGAGGATTCGAGCGGGCCGCAAGGTCTTGCAAAAGCCCCATTGGGCCGGCATGAGGGGTTCGAGATCGGGGACAGGGGAAAATATCAGATTCGGTGGGGCCCGTCTGCTGCGTCTCCCCCACAGTCCCGCCAGCCGACACGGAATGCCCTCAACGTTACCCTTGGGGCCTTGCAAGCGGCCGACGTTTGGCGCCGAAGCCGATATTTTTTTCTCACTCGCCTAGGCGTCAGAATGCCACCCGAGATGCTTCGGGACACCGCTCATCTCACAGTTAGCCCTGCTCCCTGACCCGAGGCCGCATCTAGGGCGGCAAGGTCAGAGGGGCGATTTTAGCTATATAAGACGGCGACCCTCCCACCTTTTCCTCCAACAAGAAACATCCCTCACCAGCCTCCAGCCTACCTTCGCTCCTCTCACTGCCTTCCGAGTCCCCAAAGCCAAAAAAAAGACACCAAGACTCCATCTTCAAGGCCAAGATACAGCCACCTTCACCCAAAATGAAGACCTCTTTCGTCCTCGCCACCCTGGCCTCGGCCGTCTCCGTCATCGCCGTGCCGGGGCTCTCCTGCGGCCACCACCTGGTCAACCTCGCCAGTGAGTTCTTTCCCCCTTCCCACACGGCAAATCCCACCAAAAGAATCCCGCCGCCGCCGCCGCCGCCTCGCAAATCTAACACATTTACCCCCCTCTTCTCTAGGGTACACGCAGACCGACCTCGCCAAGGCCTACTGCGGCCGGGCCGACACCTGCGACGGCAAGGAGTGGAACGTTCTGTTCAGGATCGAGAGCGGCAAGCCCTCGGTGAGCCTCTACTGCCACCTGGGCTGCTGGGGCGAGCTGGGCAACGCCCAGTGCCATTAGAGAGCCGCGCCCGCCGGGCACCCCCCTCGTCAAGAATCTGCATGAGCTCCGAAATCACGAAACTCGATACGCGATAAATAAAAAAACATGGGTGGAAGCGGACAGAACAGCTAGTGGTAATGTGCTAGGGGTGGATTCACTTCCGGTCTTTTTTTCTTCTTGTCACTCCTTTTATCACAAGTGTTTTTCTTTCAAGAAGGCTCGACGGCGCGACGAGGTACGCATGGGACCCGTGCTGGGAAGGACAGAGAGTATGGCTTGCAAGTACGCGCTTTGAGGTTTCTTTTACAATTATAAACATCATTTCCCACCGCCCTGCAACGTTGTGCCCCCAAAGTATAGTAGTGTGAAGTATTTTCCAGCCGTGGAGTAGAGGAATAATCGGGCAGCGGACTATCAAGCACCCAGCTTTTGTTGTTTGGAACCGAGGCGAGACCGAATTTATCGACCAACAGTTGCTGCATTTGTATATAAATGGACTTCACGTGGTAATCGTCGTATATCGTAACCTTGTCCAAGCGCGGTGAAAGCTGAAATCTCACGGCATTGTCGAGCTCCGTCAGACTGACCCACAGTTCTCAAGACATCCCCTTGTCGCAGTCAAAAAGCCTTTAAAACTTGATATTTTTATGTTGTCGTACACATTCATTATGGTATTACCGCAGCCTCTGATCCACCTGTCTCCCCTTTTCCAAATCCCCACCATCGTCCCAGCCCGACCGCGCCCCTGCCCGCTCAAAGCTCGGGCGCTCCGCGGCCCACGAGATGCCCGCACCGGCGCTCCCGCCGCTGAACCCGCGCGATCTGCCCGGCGGCTGGAGGTGGTGCGGGGACGAGGGCGACACGCGGCGGCCGTAGCCCAGCTGGGCCTGATCATAGTCTGTCGCTAGGCTGCTGAGTGGGGGGAGGTGGTGGTGGCGCGGGCTGCCGCTCGAGGGCGGTGGCGTCACCACCCTGGTGCTGTGGTAGCTGCGCCGGCTCGGCGGCCAGGGGTTGCCGCCGCCCGTGCCGGCGGCGAGGCGGTGCTCCCCGCCCGCCGTCATCGACGGCCGCGGCCGGGATATGGAGACGCGCGCCGTAGCCTTGTCCCCGAGGGGCGGGCCGTCGTCGTCGCCGCCGTCGTGGGGTTGCCTGCCGGTCCGCCACGACGCCACGCTCTTCCGCCGATCCAGCTCGGCCTTTTTGCTCCTGCGACTCTTGCCCGTCACGAATCGGTAGAGCTCGAGGATCCGGTCGCGGACGCTGGCGAAGAAGCCGTTGATTGCATCGATTATGTCGGTGATGGTGAAGGCCATGATGATGAGAGGAACCGAGATGCCTAGACCGACGCTGAACATGTACTTCGCCACGTATGGGATGGTCAGCCGCGCGCCTCCCCACTCCTCAAAGTTGATGGCGAAGAAGGCGGCGATGAAGCCGATGGGCAGAAACAGGATGGTGACGAGGGTGAAGACCATGACCGTCTGGCCTTGCTTGGCCGCGATGACGGCCTGGTCGCGGGCGAACCGAGCTTCGAGAGCGTTGGAGTGCTTTTGCTTGAGATCTGGGGAGGAACGACGATTGTTAGTAAGTGCAAGCTCCCAGAGACGGACTGTGCCTGGCGCGGGAGAAAGAGGAAAACCAACCAAGCAGGTTCGTAAGCGAATACAAGATGCTCTGAGCCTGTCGATCCATGCGCTCAATGTCGCCGAGCCGCGTCTCGAGCAGTCGGCCCTGGTAGGCCGATCGCCGTCGGCACTCTGCCACAAACATGTCGGTGGCCCGGCGCGCCGACGGATCTGCGGCCGTCGACGATCTGAGCTCCTCCTCCACGTGCTGGGCAAAGTCCTTCAGCAGCTCGTACTGGCCGCCAAGGACCGTGTCCAAGATGTTGAGCTCGTCCCGAATGTCCTTGATCTCGGCCAGCAGCTCCGTCTCGTGGCCGATCTCGAGCAGCTCGTCGGCCGGGTCGCGGTCGTCGTCTTCATTCTCGCTCCCGCCCCGGCGGGTTGGTGCTGAGAACAAGCTCTTGCCCTCCTTCAGCAGCTCGCGTCGCAGCCGCCCCGACTGCTCCGAGGCGCGGTTGAAGCGCACAAACAACTTGCTTTCCTCGTCGGTGACGTGTCCGATGGAGCTCTCAAACATCTCCAGGAACTGGTATTCATCGTCCATGCGGTGGCGATCGAACAGCCCGGCGCAGCGATCTGTGATCAGCATGGCGAGGTCATAGACAGACTGCACGGGCGGACGAGTCTTTGCATTCGTCTCCTCGATTATGCCGTCCAAGACATTGAGCGGGTCGGGCTTGGGCTGGCCCCAGCGCTGGGGGAAGCATGTAATTATGAGGTTGCGGTCGATGACCCACATCCAAAGCTGATCCACCATGAAGACCTTGACCGACTTGGTGTCGTTGTTTAAGCAGTATCGATACACGACCTGGTCTTCGTCTCGCTGAGAGGTATCGATGCCGTGATAAAAGTATTGATCTAGGGTTCGACGCGGGTGCAGGCCCGGCTTGTGGCGGAGGTAGCCTCGAATAAGCAACTCGTCTGGTGTCGCGTTGCCCAGGAGCTCCGCTTGCTCGCGGTACGCCGTGTCCATGTCTTCAGTCTGAGTAGACTGCGCCTTGTCTATAACCTCGGCCATCTTTTTCCGACTTTCGTCCGTCTCGTAATGAAGGAACGGCATCTTTGACTGTTGTTAGCTGTCAAGCGGCGCAACGACATGTATAGGTAGTCAGGAATGCACTCACAAACAGCACAAGACTCCCACTTGGCGCGACAAGCTTGGAGTTCTCCCAAGGAAGAGGCAGTGATGTAGGGGTCATGGCTCGCTGCTTGGTCCCAGGGGCATTGCCAGGCGGCCCGTTGCTTCTTTTCCGGCTCTTGGGATGTCTTTCGGCTATTTGCTCGCCTTTTGTCTTCTTCCTGCTGCCCTCTGACCGCGGGGTGGCGCTGCTGGTGCCCGTGTCTGCCCGGCCAAGGGCCTTGTTTGGAGACTGGAACGAGTGCTTGTCTGGCCGAGGAGAATGCTTGGGCGAGATTACGTCGCTCCCGGACAGGCTCGCCACCGCCGCCGTGGTGTTGGCTTCCGACGATTCCTCGGATAGAGTCGTCATGGGCTTCTCGTCCTTCTCTGACCGCACACCCTGGGAGGCAGGAATGCGCTGCGAGAACAGGCGCATAAAATTATCATGGGCAAAGGGGCCGCAGTGCTCCTGATCAAAGCACCTCTCCAGAGACTTGTATGCCTCGATATCGCGATGGCCGCTCTCGACAAAGTGCTTGGCTATGAGCGTCTCGACCCATGCAAGGTTATTGGCTGGGAGGTGGATCCATCGAAAGGACGGGTCGTGCTTTATGTGCTTGGTGATGGTGGGCACCTTGTCGCCATAGAGCACCTCGTAGACGGAGTGGCGAAAAACCATCTGCTTCTTGGCAAAATCCCCAAAGTCGACAACGGTCGCCTCGAACTGCTCGCAGGCGCCCCGGGCCGCGGGCGACAGCCTTTCGGCGCCGCGCGTGGGCGAGAGTACGCGAACGACGTCGGCATAATGCTTCTCGGCAGCACACAGCATCGGGGTGCGGTGGAAGCCGTCCTTGATGGACAGGTCGGCGTCGGGGCGCGTCAGCAGGAGCTCCACGGCGGCTTTGTGGCCATTGAAGGCGGCCCAGTGCATCGGGGTCATGCCGTTGCTGAGGACGGCGTTGACGGCGGCGCCGTGCTCGAGCAGCAACGCGATGACGCCGACATTGCCGGCCTGGGCGGCGTTGTGAAGGGCCGTCCAGCCGCCATCGCTGGCCGCCGACGGCTTAGCGTCCCAGCGCAAGAGCAGTCGCACCATGTCTTCGTGGTTCTGCTCCGCTGCCAGGTGCAAGGCCGTGCGGCCGCGGTTGTTGGTAGCGCTCGGGTCGGCGGCCTGGCCCAGGGTGCCACAGAGCAGCGCGTCCATGAGCCTGAGATTGCCGGTCGTGGCGGCCCAGAGCAGCGAAGTGCGGCCGTTCCGGTCCTTGGCCTCGAGCTCGGCGCCGGCGTCGACCAGCAGCTTGAGAGTCTCGATGTTCCATTTGTCCGCCTTCTTCTCCGACGCGAGGTACAGAAGCGGCGTGCGCCCGTCGAGCTTGTCGCTCTCCTTGGTGTCTTTTCTGGGCCCGTCGACGGCGGCGCCACCCTCTAGCAGTGCCTTGACCACCTGGTTGTGCCCTCTGAATGCGGCGACGTAGAGCGCGGTCAGGCCGGTGCGCGGGTGCGACCAGTCCGGGTCGGCGCCCTTGGCGAGCAGCTCGGCAACGACGGCGGCGTGGGCGCCCTCGGCGGCCTTGAAGACGGCGGGGATCTCGTTGTCGCGGCCGGGCTTGGCGTCGGGGTCGGCGCCGTGGTCCAGCAGCAGGCGAACGAGGTCGAGGCGGCCGCGAGCGGCAACCTTCTGGAGCGACTGGCGCAGGGCATCGCGGTCGGCGGTGGACGACCAGCCGTGGGGCTCCTCGTCGAGGATGTCGCGTATGCGGGCGTCGTTGACCTGAGCGGCGGCAGCGATCAGGCGAAGCTGGCGCTGGTCGGGGGCGCTGCTTGCGATGCTGTTGCTTGCGGCGGCCATTCTCACCGTCCCAGCAGCCCACAGCGCTGGCTCGGGGGCATGTTGGCGGCGAAAGAAGACGAGGGGACACACATTGCGGTCAGTGAGCGAAGCGGTAGCAGCTGTTAGATGGGGGCGCAGGCAGAGTCTGCAGGGGAAATGAGTGTGCGTCAGCCAGCCAGACAACAGGGCGTCTAGCGCCTGGGACAGCTGTCGCAGGGATCCCCTGGACAAGGCTAGTGAGACCCGAGGTTTGACCACTGCTCCTACGGCTACCACAAGAAAATGTCGAGGGCTAGGCGCCACAATGTCTCCTCAGTTACATGCGTCAAGGTGCAGCTACATCAGCCCATTCTCAAGTGTTCTGGGGCGCGGCACAAGTCTAGTCGGTAGTTACCTTTTACTCTCCAAGTGGCGCAAAGCTTAAAGAGTTCAAGCTGCGAGCCCCACCATGCTACCCTCCCCGCCATCAGCACGGCTGGAGTACCCGGCTGACGGAGACGAGATCGATGTAGTGATAAAAATCTTGTGTAAAAAAGAAAAGAAAAAGACCGACAAAAAATTTCTTCACTTCCCACCCAATGCTTCCAATGATGGGCTCTGTTCCCGCTATGATCCTGTGTTCCGGTTCGAAAAAAATTATTCGGGGCAGCTTATGGGCTAACCGCTCATCCTCTTCCCACATGGCTAACCAGTGATGTTGCCCTGAGGCGGGTCGTGATCAAACCCAGCCCACATGCCGCCGTGTTCCCAAGCGGCTTCCCCTTAACCGTCGTGGTCCGCGACAGCCGCGACATGGCCAGACACACGCACAACGCCGCGTCCGACTCCCCGCATTCCCCGTCACAGGCGCTGCGGCTCTTCCCTCCTGCGACGTTCGCACGCGCTGGCGGAGCCGGTGTGTCGTCCGAACCGCGCCAGTCACCCCGGTTCAAAGCCGTGGATGCTGCTGTTGTGGTTGTGGCTGTTGCTGTGCTTTGCCGTAAAGTTTGACTCCTTGTACGCCGTCGTCGGGTCTGAGCTGCCGAGTCTGACTACACCCCCACCACCGAGGGCACCCTGGGACGGGAGGGCGCCCGGCGCCGGCTGCGTGAGGGTGCGTAGCTTGATCTGGCGGAAGGATGTGCTGGAGCGCTTGGCTTTCTGGACATGGTTAAACGGTGCCTTGGCGGCAGGCAGGCATGCGCAGATTAGGCCGAAGAGCAGCTCGACGTTGCTAGACAGGGGTTCTGCGTCAGCACGTTGCAACATGACGTCGAGGACACTGAGATCGGCGTTGCGGCTCACCACCAGAGCGCCGCCGAGGTCCACTCGCTGTATATGCTGCCTAACCTGAAAAGATGAAATGCTTGGTAGGCTCGATATACGCTCACGCCAAAACGCTGCCGGTCGAGTTGGCGACTGCTGTCAGCCAAAAGCGCCGCAGGCGGGAACGAGATTGGCCAGGAGGGTCCTAGCAAATGCAACTTACAAGCCGCCGCCCATCAGAACACCCATGACGACCAGCTTCTTCCGCCAAGGCGCACGCAGGGGCTGGAGAATCCAGAGCGGCAGCACCAGCAGAACCAGGTCGGTGAAGGAGTTGACAAAGGCAGTGATGACCCACACGAGGCTGGTCTTGGCGCAGGCTGGATACCCATCGGGGTCGGATTGCGCAAATAGCGTACTGCTGAGGTTCTTGGTGCTGGCGGCACAGGTTATCGTGTTCACGCTCAGAGTCAGGCACTGGCCGGCGGCGAGAGCCATGGTGGCGTATGCGATGATGCGCACCTCGCGCGAGATTGTCAGGCGGAAGAAGTAGACACAGATGGCGCATTTGGTCAGGACCGTCGACAGCGCATAAGCCGGGACGGCCAGCATTGCTTGCAGCTAGACGTGCCAGGTCGTGAGCACGTGGGTCTAGAAAGGAGACAAAAAGATGGAGGTATCTAACCTGTGCATAAAGGAATATGGTTTGGAGAGTCTGTCGGCCGCTGAATATGTCTTGGGTGAGTCTGGCCTCTGTGGTGGCATCTCAAGAGTTAGATATATCCAGCTGGCAACCTTGGGAGCGGACCGAGATGTATGTCACACACCCATGAATTGCACGATTCCGTATACGAAGACGAAAAGCTCCAATGGTTGGTCAGTTCTGCCGCCCACATAGCACAAAGTCAGCCCAAGCTCGTCCAGCACGTTCATCGTGTACAAACGTACACAGCGCTCTACGAAACCATACCATCGCCTTGGCCCATGCCCGCACCACGGACCTTGCCACATAAACACGCAGCACGACGAGCACCAATGCAACGACCGAAAGAGCCACGGAGAAGCGCAGCCATGCCCGAAGCACCTCACTATCGCCGTATGCGTCCGAAAAAGCCATGCCGAAAGAACCTGGTAGGGATAGCCTTCCGCCATAGTCCGGGGGGAGAGAGTTTGGGTTGTCGGCTGGCACTGGGAGCAGGCTTCAAACGGGAGCAGGTTCTCAAGAGGAGGCTCCACGGCAAGCAGCGAGGTGCTAGGCCGGCCGGCCTGTATTAAGAAGGGCATCAACACGCACAAGCGTTTCCGTCTCCCCGGTTGCCCGCTCCTGCCAAGTAGCTAGATTTAAGGCTGAGTGGGTGTGGCACATCTGGAGTCCTCGCTTCGGCGAGCGAGCGGGCGCCATCGCCACCTAGCCAGCTAGCGGGATGTGCTGGACAGGCTTCTTTGATGCCCATGCCAAAGCCCCAGTGTTGGGTCCCTGGAACTTGCCGAGGGCAAAGTGGCGCGGGTGGGATCTACTTTCCCGATCGATCGAGATGGCGAGCAGCAGTTTGCTATGGCCCGCGGATCCAGCAAGCGGTGTAATTGCCAAAGTGACTCGAACCGGACTGGACATGTTTGTAGCCTCGAGATTGGGGGACAAGAAATACCACCAGGGCTATTTCTTGCCATGTAGCGGTGGCATTCGAACGGTTCTGTCTATGTCTAGCCCATGTCTAGCCTATGTCCGATCCATGTTTAGATGGTCATCTGGCACGGGAAATCTGAATCCGATCTTGGCCATGGTTTTTGCACTGTGAAGCTGACGGCCCAGGGTTGTCAAATCGACTGGTCTAATCGACAAGTCAGGGGAAACAAAAGCAAGGAAAAAGCAAAGTCGGTTGGTCGGTGTGCGGGAGAGAAGCAATGACAATATGCCACGGTCCACTGACCACTAAAAAAAAATTCAAAATGCTTTTCCCCACCCAAACTCTATATCAAAAACATCAAAACAAACTCAATCAATTCAATTGCGGTATGTTAGAGCATCATAACACGCCCAAAAAAACACGGATCCTTTCGCCAATGATAAAAGGCGAGGGCAAAATAATTGCCCATTAATTTGCATATAAATTATAGTTGTTGGTTTCTTTTTTGGTTGTGTTTTTTTTGGTGGTGTTTTTTTGGTGGTGTTAATTGACTTTGAAATGGGAGCCCGCATGACATGGCCGTAATCTCGGCAGTGGCTACCACCTTCCGCCTTGAGCAGTCGTCCCGCACCCCTGCCTCTGTCGGGCAGCAGATTCCAGCCACACCTGGTGCAGCGTCAGGGACGCGAGTCCCCATCGCCATGCAGCCGTGCTGACACGGCAGAGAGCGCAAAATCGGTACTCGTATAAATGCCCGCCCCCCTAGATCCGGCCTTGATATTCTCTGCTCCTTTTTTCCCCACCCCTCCCAGGTGCCACTGCTGCCCGTCCTGACGCAATGGTTTCTTTTCGCAGCATCGGCCTCGTTGCCGCCTCGCTGCTCTCTGCAGCCCAGGCCCTCCAGCGCTTCCCGCTGCCGCCCATCGACAGGGAGGCCCTGCGGGAACACGACCAGGGCGAGAAGCTTGGCCTGGCCCGCAGACAGGCCCCCAACCCATCGCGGCTATACCGAGAGTACAACCTCTCGGTCCCCATCGACCACTTTCACAACGACAGCCGCTACGAGCCGCACTCTGACGGCTCGTTCCCGCTTCGTTACTGGTTCGATGCCCAGTACTACAAGCCTGGCGGGCCCGTCATTGTGCTTGGCGCCGGCGAGACGAGCGGCGTTGGTCGCCTTCCGTTCCTACAGAAAGGCATCGTCAACATCCTGGCCAAGGCCACCGGCGGCGTTGGCGTGATCCTGGAGCATCGCTACTACGGCACCAGCGTCCCTACCAGCGACTTCAGCACCGAAAACCTGCGCTTCCTCACCACGGAGCAGGCTTTGGCCGATACTGCCTACTTCGCCAAGAATGTCAAATTCCCCGGGCTCGAGAACGTGAACCTCAGCCCCGACGTTACCCCCTGGATCGCTTACGGCGGCTCGTACGCTGGTGCTTTCGTCGCCTTTCTCCGCAAACTCTACCCGGACCTCTTCTGGGGAGCCATTTCGTCCTCGGGCGTGCCCAAGGCGATTTGGGATTACTGGAAGTACTTCGAGGCCGCTGCTGTCTACGGGCCGCCTGCCTGCGTCGAGTCGACGCGCAAGCTGACGCACATTGTCGACAACATCCTGATGGGCCGCGCCAACGACGACCCGCAGGCGCAGCGTCTCAAGGCTGCCTTTGGCATGCCCAACATCACCTACAACGACGACTTTGCCGGCGCCATCAACAACGGCATCTACTCCCTGCAGAGCTACAACTGGGATCCCGCGGCCGGCTCGGTTGAGTTCTTCAACTATTGCAGCAACGTCTCGTCCGACGCCGTCGTGTATCCGGCCACCGAGTCCAAGCGCTCGGTCGTGCAGGAGCTGATGAGGCTGGGCGGTTATGAGAAGGAGCTCGGCACGAGCCTCGAGAACCGCTTCCTCAACTACATCGGCTACGTCGACCTCACCAGCGTCCAGCGCTGCCGCGGCTCCCAGGACGGGTGCTGGGGGTCGCACGATCCCAAGTCGTGGGAGGGCGTCGACCTGTCCCGCACCGACCGCCTGTGGCCCTACCAGGTCTGCACCGAGTGGGGCTACATCCAGACGGGCAGCGGCGTGCCGGCGGACCAGCTGCCGCTGATCTCGCGCCTGGTCGACCTCGAAACGGCGACGGCCAGCTGCCGCAACTTCTTCAACATGACGGGCCAGGCAGACCTGGACCGCATCAACCGGTACGGCGGCTTCGACATCAGCTACCCGCGCCTGGCCTTTGTCGACGGCGAGTGGGACCCCTGGCGCGCCGCCGGCGTCAACGCCATCGGCCTGCCCCCGCGAAAGTCGACCCTGGACGAGCCCGTCTTCCTAATCCCCAAGGCCGTCCACCACTGGGACGAGAACGGCGTGTTTGCCAACGAGACGGTGCCCGGCTACTTTCCTCCCCTGGACGTGTCGGGATCGCAGGCGCAGATGGTCACGTTTGTCCAGGTCTGGCTGGACGAGTGGGCGGCGAAGCGGGCGGCCAAGGAGCTGTAAGCTCGGTGCACTCAAGACCCTGTTCGAGGCTTACTCTGAGGCATTTTAATGCGACTATGACGAATAATTTCGGCCTATGTAGTATCGCCTAGGAGATATATTAAAAGAAAGGCTTTGTGCCAACATGACACTTGGCAGTGGTTTTGCCGGGCCCGGCAGGACACTGAAAGAAGAATCTAGCCATTCATCTCGCCGAAAGATGTGACCTAAATTAAAGCCCAGCGATCTCTCATCTCGACTCTATGCCAAAGACCGGAGCGGCTCTGCGCTGCCTCACGGGCTCTCGGTCAAGTTTGGGAGGTCAGAGCGTCCTCCTCGTCGCCATCCTCCTTGCCAGGACCTCCCTTGCCGGGACCCTTCGGGCCATACCCTGGCGCCGGCACAGGCGGAGGGACGGGCACGGGCTTTCCCGGGACGGGATACGGGACCGGAACCGGAACGGGAGCAGCCTTGGGGTACGGGACCGAGACCGGGACTGGGACTGGGGCGGGCTTGGGGTACGGGAGAGGCGCCGCTGGCGATTTGGGCTCCTTGGGCTCTTTTGGTTCAGGCTTCTTTGGCTCGGGTTTCTTCGGCTCAGGCTTCTCGGGCTTGGGCTCTTTGGGCTCCGGCTTTTCGGGCTTCGGCTGTTTGGGCTCGGGCTTTTCGGGCTTTGGCTCCTTGGGCCCCTCGGTCTCCTCGTCGTCGCGCCGGCCTAGCATACTAGCGCCTGCCGAGTCCGACGTCCCGCGGGACGGTGTAGCTGAGCACATTGCTTCCGGGGACGCCGAGGGCCCTGGGGGTTGGTGGTGGAGGAGTCAGTTCGACTGAAGCCAGCATCGTACCGCCGCGGACATTCTCACCTGTCTTCCGCCCCCTTGGAGACGGGCGCTGTCAAGACGGCGCCGGTGCCCATCAGCAGGATAAATTGGGTGAGACGCATTGTTGCAGCGTGTGTTTTGTGCCTGCGCTGGTGGGTGGTTTGGCCCAAAAGGACGGATGAGGCTGGCCGGAGGGTTGTGAGTGATGGAGCGAGCGCGGGGGAACGGTGATGGAAGATCCGGGAGGACTGCTTGCTGGCTGATGAGGGCTAGACTTCCTGCTTCTCCTGTAGCTACGGCGAGCACCTCTTTATACGCGTTATCGCGCCGACCAACGATGGTCAGTGGGCAGCCCTCGCTACGAGACTGGGAACTCGAGAACGTCATTTCCTTCCCAGATCGGACCAGGCCTCGACGAATTGAGACTGCGTCGGCGGCCATCTCGCGGGGGGCAGAGTTTCCCGCCGTGACTCTTGCGCGGCTAGTAGGCGAGCGCAGCCGGCGCTGGACGGGACTCTCGTATGCTGCGGCAGATGCGGAGGCGGGGATCTCGTACGTGAGTCCCCAACACTCGCGTCTGTCAACGTCGTCTGATTGTCTGCGACGCCCTGACGGACATCTTGACAGGCTGGCCGGGACCGCATGTCATTCGCAATCCTGGGCGGATGCGGAAGTCTCTTGTTCGTCACATCTCGGCAAAAGAGGGGTTGGGGGTTCGGGGGGTTCGAACCCATGCGGCTGCTTCTTCTTTTGGAATTGGGTTTGTAACAGGGTTTGGGGGTGGAAACGGACGAGGTTTCTCGACGGGAACGGACGGGACGCTGGTGTCGTCGAGGAGCGGGCTGCGGCAAGGGACGGGTCATGCAGCCCGGCTCGGGGACTTGGTATTGCTGCAGCGTTCTTGCCGTTGGGCCACACAAGAGGCTGGCGTGATCAGATGGCAAGGTGTTGAGGGCTCGGGTGAGAGCATGGACGGGTTTGTACCCTCTCAGCCGGTTTAATTTAACGGGTGGTTTGAAAAGGGCTTCGGATGAGGTAACTCTATCATCAAGCCACTGCGTGAAAAGAACTCCTGCAATCCCTACTCATCTAATGTGGTACTCTACTGGTAAAACCGTACCCAGGGCTTGGGCTTTCTAAATAGGGCTCCAACTGACTCGATCTTATTTTGAACCGGGAATGTTTCTGGTAGATGGATGAGGTCCTCCTCACTTGAGGCCTCCATGACCGGACTGCAGCAGATCAGTCCCAATAGTCTTTTCTATTTCTCCTCGACCCCTCAGGATAACTCCATCCAGTCATTCAAGTACGGATTGAAAAAGCCCGGGCACGCCGACGACTCCCACTAATAGCCGGCGACGTCTCCAATCTCGGTCGACGGGATGGCGAACGGGGCGACATTGTCCCTGACTTGGGTCCGCTGCTCAAAGTCGTAGGCGAGCCCGATGAGCTTCTCCTCGGTCCAGTGCGCGCCGAGGAAGCTGATTCCGAATCTGTGTATGTCAAGCAGTCAGCAAAATTCTTTTGGCTGTTGCATAGAAAAACAAAAGTCGCAAGCAGGGAGGGTGGACGAACGGAATGTTGGGGCCGTGAAAGATGAGCCCCCGCTGCGACTCCTCCTCGTGCCAGTCGGGCGGGTAGTACCCCAGCGGCACCGTCACGACGGGGGCGCCGTTGATGGCGGCCCAGCTGGAGGCGTAAAGGGTCGGCAGCACGACAGCGTCGAGTCGGTTGCGGCTTATGGCGCCCACGAGGCCGCCCTCGCCGCCAAAGTAGAGGTTCTTCTGATATGCAGCCCAGGCGCGCGGGTCCGTGTTGTTGAAGCCCGGTCGGTCGAGCACCACGTCCCAGATGGCCGTGTCGCGGTCCGGGTACGCCTCCAGCTCGGGCGCGGTCTGCTGCGTGAAGCGCCGCACGTCCTGCAGGCTCTTGACGCCCGACGGGTTGGACGACAGCTTGGAGAGGTACGACGCCAGGTTGACGGTGAAGTCGGCGTTGAGCACCGTCATCTCCGAGTCGGACCTGCTCTGCTCGGCGGCGGCCGTGAAGTTGGCCTCGCCCCGGACGATGGTGGCGCCCGCGGCCTCCATGAGCGCCAGGGCGGCCTCGAAGGCGGCGAGCTCCGGGTCGGAACCGTTAGTCGCCCCGTAGAGCTCGAGCACGTTGAGCGGGAAGCCGATGCGGGCGCCGCCGAGGGCATGGCGGTCAACATCGCAGGCGGCGGCGTAGTCGGGGACGGCGCCGCCCGGGATGGCCGAGGTGTAGTTGTCGTTGGCGTCGACGCCGGCGATGGCCTGCAGCAGGCGCGCCGCGTCCCGGACTGTGCGCGCCATGGGCCCGACCGTGTCCTGGTGCTCGCTGATGGGGATCACGAGGTCGCGCGACGTGAGCCCGACCGTCGGCTTGATGCCCACGAGGCTGCCGACGCTCGAGGGCGAGAGGATGGACCCGTCCGTCTCGGTGCCCAGGGCGGCCCAGGCCAGGCCGAGGGCCGACGCGACGGCGCTTCCGCTCGAGCTGCCCTGTCATGGTGTCAGCAGCTGCGCGCTGGGCTGGGTGTGGTATGTAACAGGGTTTGATGGACGTGGCATGGGAATCACGGGCGATGAGGTGGGAGAGCAGAAGCAAAAAAGAAAAACTTACACTGGGATCTTGGCGCTCGTGATATGCGCCCATGACCTGCCCGCCGTGAGCACTCCAGCCATTGGTACTGTTCATGCTCCGGTAGTTGGCCCACTGGCTCAGGTTCGCCTTGCCCAGTATGACGGCGCCGGCGGCGCGCAGCCTCGCGGCGACGAACGAGTCCCTGGGCACGACGGCGCCGAGGAGCGCGTACGAGCCGGCCGTGTTGTTCATGGCGTCGGCGGTGGCGATGTTGTTCTTGATCAGCACGGGCACGCCGTGCAGCGGACCCCTCGTCCTGCCCGCCGCCCGCTCGGCGTCAAGCTCGGCCGCGACGGCGATGGCGTCCGGGTTCAGTTCGGTGACGGCGCGGAAGCGGGCGTTGGCCTCGCCGATGCGCCCCGTGTAGGCCATGACCAGGTCGACACTGGTGAAGAGGCCCTCCTCCAGGCCGCGGGCCAGATCGTCGAGGGTCGCGTCGATCAGGCGCGGGAACGGGTGGCCCTTGACGGTGACGTTGGGCTGCAGGGCCGCGAGGGCCGCGCAGAGCCACGTCGCCAGAAGGAGCAGGCTGCTGTGGTTCAGGGATGGCATCTTGGGCGCGGGGTCTGTCTGTCTTGATGGTTTGGATGGCGAGCGAGGCAGGTCCCAAATGGCGGCGTGTTGTTGTCGAGTGCTGATGCTGCTGCTCTCGCGTAGCGGTAGGGTTATGCCGGCTTATCAGGCCTGGTCGTGGTTGATAGCGACCCGTGCTCCTCAGCAGGCACACCACCCGACCGGTTCCTGGTTCCTGGTCGCCAGTTGGACGAATCAACAGAGCCCAGCAGGGCGGGGTAGTTCCCTTTAAGGCAGGTCAAGAGCGAGTCGGGCCGTGTTTTGCCTGGCGCATTATTCGTGGTGCCTCGGACTCTGCCTGCTCGCATTGTTTTCAGTCAGTCATCTTTCTTCTAAGAACCAATGGCTTCTTATCTCGTTTCTTCCTTGGAGCTCTTTTGCGAACTGCAGCCAACTCTGCTTCCCTTTGGTCCAGAACCGGCTCCATTATATAGCGTGTAACCAGGGAGGGCTTTCTGGTATGTGCCTGGCTGGTGTCGCACGAACCAGAAATTCCGATTACCAAACGGATGCTGGTTGCATAAAAACATTTATTATTGCCAACTTTGACATAAACTGTCAAGAAGGTGTCTTGCCCAAACAGCTGCCTTGTATATCCATCTAGCCTTTGTATCACTTGTCTACCGCGTATTTATCACATATCCTCGCGTGGGTGACACGTTGTATTACGGAAATAGTAATTATGCAGGTTTAGTCGGTTTAACAACAGTTTCAGGGTATTCTAGTTCAAACTAACGATAGAATTTTATCTTATTTACAGGTATTGTACCCACACACCCCATTACTTGAAACTCCTCAGCGGAATCGCCTCCTCAGCCTCCTCAAGCACCTGCATCGTCCTGACAGTCCACTCCCTCTGCGCCTCGCCAGGCTCCAGGTACGGCTTTCGCGGCGCAAACGTGGCCCTGTCCTGCAGCCCCAGGTGCTTCTTCCCGACAAAGTGCCAGGCGGCAAACTTGGCCAGCGACAGCCCCTTCTTGCACGCCCACTCGGCATTGCCAACGAGCTCCTGCAGCTTCTTGGCCTCGTCGACCTTGCCTTCACGCCACAGGTCGTACACGCGGGCGGTGGCGCGCGGGAAAACGTTGCCCATACCAGTGACGCAGCCGACGCCGCCGCCCTCGAGCGTCGGCACCAGGTAGTCGGCCGAGCCGCCGTAGACGCCGAACTGGGCGGGCGCGAACTTGGAGGCCAGGCGCACCACCTTGCCGACGTTGCCGCACGTGAGCTTGACGGCCACGATGTTGGGGTGCTCGGCCAGGGCCGCGATCTGGTCCGAGCCGAGGTCGATGCCGCCCGTGACGCCGGGGAACTGAGGGTTTGTTTTTTCGTCAGCATTTCTTCGTTTTAGATGCGGATACGCCACAAACAACCATGATAACAACAGAGAGGCACCCACGTTGTAAATCACAATAGGCATCGGGCTCGCATCGGCAACCTCCCGGTAGTACGCCAGCAGGGCGTCGGGCGTGACGGCCTTGGCCCAGTAGCTGGGCGGCAGCAGCAGGCCAAAATTAGCGCCCGCCTCGGCCGCCTCGCGCGCGCACAGGATAGTCTCCCTGGTGCTCTGGGCGCTGACGCCGGCCACGATGGGGTAGTCGGCGGGCGGGCCGACGTCGGCGACGGCGGAGCGCGCCATGGCGACGATCTTGACGCGCTCGGCGCGGTCCAGCAGCGCCAGCTCGCCGTTGGTGCCCAGGTACACGAGCCCGTGCTGGCCGGAGCGCAGGAGGTGGCGCGCGTGTAGGCGCATGGCGTCGTAGTCGACCTCCTGAGCCGCGTCGGCCCTGTACAGCGTCAGCACGGGTGTGTATACGCCCTGCGGCAGGGGCCGGGCCTTGGGGGCGAGGGTGGAGGTGGGCATTGCGGCGGCGGCGGGCGGTGGGCGGGGTCGGCTGTCGACGTGGTGTTTCTCCAACGAGACGACAGAGGAGGGTCGAATAAGAGCAGGGCGGCTGTCAGATAAACCGGACCAACATCAGCCCCGTCGGCCCAACCCGCGATTCCCCCCCTCTAAAAGACAAGGCGCGATATGGCCGAGCACGGCACGGAATCCCCGCCATGTGGCTCACGTCATAGCGCCATGACATTGGGACGCGCTAACTCGCCCGGCGCGGGGACCCCTGCCTGAGGGGTGGGTATGGGGAAGCCAAGCCCACGGCGACCCGTGCGGAGGATGATGCGAGTCCCAGCCGGGCTTCTCGCCGGCCCACCTCGCTCTCCCCGTCCAATTCCCGTCGCCTTGTAGCGGCTTTCCTCTGTCGGGGCAAACTAAGTGACGCGGGCTCGCTGCATAACGCCACCAGATGCGGGGGATGAGACGCTGCCACGCGCTCTCCCAAGTTCTGTGTGCTTATCCCCTCCGCTTCTTGGGGCTCACCGGCCGAATTCTCGTAATGATGCATGCATGCAGCGCCGCCGAGTCGATCGAGGAAGGATGCGACGCCGGCAGTGGCAGATAGGGACTTTGACTCGGACACACGGACGCTGCAGCGCGGCGGCATGGCTTCAGATCGTTGAACCGGACCAATATGCGTTGTGCGATCTGGCTAAAGTTGCCCGCTAGCGCTGGTTGGATGTCAGGGGACGACGCCATGTCCAGAGGGTCGGGTGGTGGCGTAGGACGACCTGCAAATGCAGAGACAGCTGAGGTAGGTAGTATTATTCAATGTAAATGTTAAAGAACAAGCGTACCTCGTGCAGAAACAGGTGTGGTTATGTACAGCAAGGTAGCCAGCCAGTGGACGTAACAGACAATTATCGTGGGTCATGAGAAAACGCCGTGTAGAGATCAAGGAAAAGATTACAGCCGCGACTTGGGCTTCCAGCGAATCCAGGGGTGCTCAGATGCCGAGCGGACAAGGTGATCGATATCGGCCGTGTTGACAAGCCCGGGGTGAGCTTCGTCCAGCGAGTTGATGCCGCAGAGCTTCATCGACACCTCGAGCTCGTCCTTGAGGACTGTGGGGGGCGAAAAAATACGAGCAGTCAGCAATACGTCCTTCATGGCAGGCATGCAGGCAGGCAGGCAGGCAGACAGGCAGACAGGATGCAGAAAAAAAAACCCACTCTGAATCAGGTGCGCGCAACCCTCCTCGCCGTACGTCAGCGAGTACAGGAACGGGCGGCCAATGCCAACGGCGCTGGCGCCTAGGCAGACGGCCTTGAGGATGTCTGAGCCACGCTCGAAGCCGCCGTCGACCATGACCTCGAGGTGGTCAAACACCTCGGGCGCGTGGCGGTGCAGCTCCAGCAGCACCAGGACGGCGGGCTGGGCCGTGTCGAGCGAGCGGCCGCCGTGGTTGCTGAGCATGACGCCGGCGCAGCCGTAGCGGACCGCCAGGCGCGCGTCCTCGGCGCTCTGCACGCCCTTGAGCACCACGGGCAGGCCCGACGTCTCGCGGATCCAGGCGATGTCCTCCCAGACCAGCCGCTTCTCGACGTACTGCGCCATCAGCCGGCCCATGCCGCCGCCCTTCTTGTCGTTGCCGGCCACGGCGCCCGACACGGCCGACGCGACGTTGGCCTCGGCCGCGATGCGCTCGTCGGCCTCGCGCTTCCCCGGCACGGGCGCGTCCACGGTGACGAAGATGGCGCGCACCCCGAGCCCCTTGGCCTTGCGCAGCAGGTCCGCCGTCTTGGCTCGGTCCGAGTTGACGTAGAGCTGGAAAAAAAAGTCCTGCCGGCCGGGCGGGCCCGTCAGGGGGTGGCGGTCGCCCGCGGACAGGTCGTCGGCGGCGGCGGCGATGGCGGCGAGCGGGTAGCTGGCGTTGTTGGAGATGCACTGGACGACGCCCTCGCGGGCGGCACCGCGCGCAAGGGCCAGCTCGCCGTCCGGGTGGGCCAGGCGCGCCATGGCGGCCGGGCTGATGAAGAAGGGCGCGGCCGAGTCGACGCCCAGGATGGTGCGGCGCAGGTTCGTCTCGGCCACGTCGCGGAGCACGCGTGGCCGCAGCATGACGCGGCGCAGGAACGACTGGTTCCACGCGTGCGTGTTGAGGTCCGTCGCCGCCGACGAGTAAAAGGCCCACGCCTTGGGCGTCAGCGTGCGCGCCGCCACCTCGCGCAGGTCCCCAGCGTTAATGCACGAGCATAGGTCTGGCTTGCGGTAGGGCTGGGGCTGCTGCTGCTGCTGCTGCTGGAGCTGTTGCTGGAGCTGTTGCTGCCGATGATGATGATGCGGCTGCCGATGATGATGATGCGGCTGCTGGTACTGTTGCTGCCGATGATGATGATGATGTGGCTGCTGGTACTGTTGCTGCCGCTGCTGCTCCTGCTCAACCTCGGCCTCAGCCTCAGCGCCCGGAGGAGCGGCGTCGCTGCTCGCGGGGATGAAGTTGCCCCTAAACTTGTCCGGGCTCAGGGTCTCCTCCAGCATGCCGGGCGCGTGGATGTTGTCGTAGGCGGCAGTGGCATCCTTGCCGGCATATTGCAAGAGTACTGCGCCAGGTCGGGTCTTGTCAGCATCGCACTTTTGTTTTGTTTTGCCAGCGCGCGGCTCAAGGGCAGAGGTTGAGACGAAAAGAAAAGAATAAAAGCATACTTGCGGACCCGCCGGGATGCTCGCTGAGGAAGTCGGTCACGTCCCAGACCTTGCTGTGCACAGCGATCCAGCAGTCCTGGGATGACTGGTGCCGGCTCAGGTCGGCGGGCGTCAACATTAGCTCCGTCGTCGCCATTGCGTGCGTGGGAGGGCCAGGTGTCGTGGGCGTCGTCGGGGTGGAGAAGGAAAGGGAGGGCATGGCACGAGTGGGGGATATCAACCAGACAAAGACGCTGCAAAAAAGGGATGGAAAAAGGACGACGGACCCAGAAAGCCCCAGCTTACAGGTACGGGCTGCCACAGGTCTTTTTCTCCAGGTCCTGATCCGGTCTTATGTTCTTAATACGCGTGTTATCCCAGCCAAGAAGCGCTCCTCTAGACACGCCTAAGCGACACGCAACCCGCGCCCGCCGCGGCACTTGTTTTTTCTATTTCTGATTTGTTTAACTCTGGCTGGACAATCTTCCGTCCCTCCTCTCGCGAGGAGCCGACGGCGTCTCCACCTCAGCTCCATCCCAGGGGCCCTGCTAAGCACCACGGCCGCCCCGGCACTCGTCTCCTCAGAAACTATCAAGCCGGTACCGTATTCGAACGAAGTGGTTGACAACGGCACTGAGCATAGAGGAAAGGTGCTGGTAGTAACACAGTAGGTACTTCAGCCGCGCGAATTCCCACGCGGCGCTGCGAGCGTGGCGCTGCATGCACAATGCAACCTTCCCCGTGCCGGGATTAGCCAAGGGACCCCCGACCCTTCTTCTCCCGTGCCCTTGTGCTCTTCTGACCGGATTGATCGGGGTCTTTGGATCGGGCCTGCTGCTGGCTGTGGGGTGGTTGGTGGACCTCTCTGGCGGGTTCGCGGTCTTCTCGCCGAGTTCGTGCGCGGCCTTTGCAAGCCGCGCGGTGCTTTGTTGGTTTAAGCTCGCTGCGGAGATGGAGAGACAGGAACGATGGGTTCCGACCAGAGGCAGAGGCATCTTGATCTGTCCAACCCTCGCACTCCAATGTGCCCGAAATTCCTGCCTGGGGACCTGACTCGCTCGAGCAGAAAAGGGCATCGTCGAATCTGCTGCATGCTGACGATTAGCACAAGTCGGGGTAGGGTTACCACACGTGGCGCACTCCGGAAGTCAACTTCACCGGTCTTGTAAATGACAATCTATTTTCAATGATAAGGTTTTAATTTATCGTCCGGTGATTTCCGCGGTGGAGATGCGTAAAGAAACCAGTATGGTGACTGGCGTTCCCGCGATTGCGTCTTTGGGTGATATAAAAATGGCAACGAGAAGTGCCCAGCAGTTTTCTGGCTTGCCTCGTGACTAGATTGACATGGCAATATACTTTACATGGGGGAGAGGCCCTTGTAGTGGGAGTAATAGTACGGCGTAATAAGATGACTGCGATTACCAACTCTTCTGTCATCAGTCCGACTCTGTTACGACAATAACAAAGCCGGTAACACTATTGGGAGCAAGCCGAATAGGTGAGGGGATGGGAGGGGATAGCCCCTCATAGTCTTGGGGCCCCTGATACGGCAGCCCGCCAAGGTTGGGATCGGCAGACCCGGGAAACAAAAAGGCCGAATGGGGCAATGCGCCTACTCGAAAGGGAACCTTTACGTCATGACACCCAGCACCTGCCGCATCGGCAGAGGGCCGTGTGGGGAAAGGGCAACTTCCGCGGACGCGCACCACTAAGCGTACGGGACTTGGTCTCGGCCCGGCGTAGTTGGGGTCGCGAGGTCGCATTCCGCGCGCGGGAATGCAACCCTGCCGGCCGCGGCTGATATCGGTGTGGTGTTGTGCGATTGGGGATCTAAAGAGGCCGAAAGGAAGAGAATGGCAGCGCTGTCTGTCGGGGTATCTATATTTTGTGCGCCGCTGCAATTTGTTAAAAGGTGATCAAAGATGGCTCGCGGTCCTACCCTCCTGCCTTCAAGACCAAGTGGCCACTCGGACGTTAAAATGCCCGCCGCGCCAACGTCTCACCTCAACCGCGCCGCCCTGGCCGCCGCCCTGGCCGTGGCGGTCGCGGACGCGACGCCGCCGATGGGGTGGAACAGCTACAACACCTTTGGGTGCTCGCCGTCCGAGGAGCACATCAAGACGAGCGCGCGCGGGCTCGTCGACCTGGGCTTCCGCGACCTAGGCTACAAGACTGTGACGGTCGACTGCGGCTGGAACGGCCGGGACCGCGACGCGCAGGGCCGCCTGCAGTGGAACGAGACGCGGTTCCCGTCGGGCGGGCGCGCGCTCGGCGACTTTGTGCACGGGCTCGGGCTCCGGTTCGGCCTGTACTCGGGCGCGGGCTACCTCCAGTGCGGCAGCACCGACCTGCCGGCCTCGCTGGGGTTCGAGGAGGTCGACGCCGCGTCCTTTGCCGAGTGGGGAGGGGACTCGCTCAAGTACGACAACTGCTACGCCACCTCCCGCACCGTCATGGTCGACTCGGACTCGGCCGAGGCCAAGTCCCCCGCGCGCTTCCTCAAGATGGGCCGCCTGCTCAAGGAGACGGGCCGCGACATCGCCTACTGGCTCTGCCAGTGGGGCATCGGCGAGAACGTGCCGGCGTGGGCCGCCGCCACGGGCCAGAGCTGGCGCATGAGCAACGACATCTACGATAGCTGGCGCAGCATCTGGCGCATCGTCAACCAGGCCGTCCCGCACGCGCGCCACACCCGGCCCGGCGCCTACGCGGACCTGGACATGCTCGTGGTCGGGCTGGGCGGCCTGACGCTCGAGGAGGAGCGCTTCCACTTTGGCATGTGGTCCATCATGAAGTCGCCGCTGCACATCGGCGCCGTCGTCGACCAAGGCCGGACGCGGCCCGCGTCGCTCGACATCATGCGCAACAGGGAAGTCATCGCGCTGAACCAGGACCCGCTGTCGCGGGCGGCCCGCCTGGCGCTGCGCGACACCGAGGGCGAGTGGGACGTCTGGGTCGGCGACCTGTCGGGCGGGAGGAAGGTCGTGGGCGTCGCCAACTGGCGCAACGAGTCGCAGACGGTGCCGCTGGACCTGCCCTTTGTGGGCGTCGCGTCGGCCGCCGCCGCGCGCGACGTCTGGGCCGCCGCCGACCTGGGCGCCGTGGCCGGGACGCGCCAGGTGGCGCTCGCGGCGCACGAGCTGAAGCTGCTGGTGCTGGACGGCATCGAGGGCGCGCCGGCGCCGTCTTCTAGGGATGGTGGTGGCGGTGGTGGTGGTGGGCTGTACTACCACCCGGCGACCGCCGCGGCGCTGGGCGGGGGCGCGGTGCTGCGGTCGTGCGCGGGCAGCACGCACGGCTGCGCGCCCGTGGGCCACAAGGTCGGCGACGTGGGTGAGCGCGCGACGGTGCGGTTCGGCAACGTGAGCGTGGCGGCGGGCGGGGCCAAGTACGTCGGGGTCGACTTCATCAACTACGACTACGCCTTCCAGACGGCCTGGGGCTGGGGCCACAACACGCGCAACATGACGGTCAGCGTCAACGGCGGGCCGGCAAGGCGCTGGGCGTTTCCGCTCGGCGGTAATGACTGGTTCGAGACGGGACGGCTCAACATCCGACTCGACGGCTTCAGGGCTGGCGACAACGAGGTTGAGTTTGCTGGTGTCGCTGGGTCTGGGTTTGCCCCTGACCTTGTTGGGTTTGAGGTGTATGAGTGAGGGTGGTCACGAAAACGTTCCGGTGTGTGTGTGTGTATGTTTATCTGCGTCCGAGGTCCAAGATATTTACACATGTACATCATCTCTACTCGCAGTAGCGCCCTATTTCAGATCCTCCTCCTTGATCCTGCAGTACTTGATCCGCATGCGCCAAAACGTGTAGGCAATGTGGATGGTGCCGTCAGCAGCGACCGCGATGCTAGGATAGCTGAGCTCGCGGTTCCTCTGGCCCTTGGAGTTGTTCGTTAGGCAGAACCCGAGCCCGTCGTCCAGCAGGCCCCGCGTCTTCCACGTGCGCCCGCCGTCGTCCGACGTCGCCAGCGTCAGCCTGTTGCGCGGCGTGCCCCAGATGGCCGGCTTGCCGTCGATGACTGCCTGCTTGCTGAGCTTGGGCTTGCCCGTCTCGAGGTCGTCGTACAGGCCCTCGCGGCGCGCCATGTCGGGCGTCGCGCGCGAGTCGTTGTACACCAGCGCGAGCCTCCCGCCCTTGGTGACTGCCATGCCGATGCCCGAGTTGGGGTTCGGCAGTTCCGTGGGCTGGGGCTTGAACCACGTGATGCAGTCCTGCGAGCGCGACATGTAGATGTTGTCGGCCCAGCGGCTGCGGAAGACGGCAACCCAGCCGCCCTCGGGGCCCGGGTCCGGCCGGATGTTCATGTGCACGGCGCCGCGCGAGTCGGGCACCACGCTCTCCTTCCACGTCTCGCCGCCGTCGGCCGAGTACCTGACGGCCGACACGTCGTCGTTGCCGACCCACTCCTCCCCCTCGGCCGCGCGGCAGTGGAACACGGGCAGCACCCAGACGTCCCTCCCCGGCCCCTCCTTGTCCGGCAGCACCGTGACGGGCTGCCGCACAAGCACGCCGCGGTCGGAAAAGGCCTCGCGCGCCTCGGACCAGGTGCGTCCTTGGTCCGTCGACACGCGGCGGCGCACCAGGCACTTGTTCTGCGCGCCGTGCTCCTGCGCCGTGTAGAGGAGCCAGAGGTTCTTGGTGCGCGGGTCCTCGAACAGGACCGGGTTCTGCTCGCTGCGGCCCGGGTCGCCTGACACCCGCGCGGGCTCCGACCACTCGTCGGCCCCAGGTGCCAGCCGCGCCAGCCAGATGTAGATGTCCGATGTGCCCTCCATGGAGCCGCCGAAAAAGGCGCAGAGCACCTCCCCGCTGTCGAGGACTAGCAGGTTGGACGCGTGCACCTGGTCCGTGTCGGACTGGATGTAGTTCTCCTCCCGCTTGGGCTCGCCGTCCATGTCGACGAGCCGCAGGTCTGGGTGGAAGTGAATCATGGCTGGTGGGTTGTGCCGTGGTTGTCGTTCGCGGCGTGGTGGCGAGCGTTGTCGATGACGGGGGTTGAGGATTAACAAGTCACCGAGCTCGCTTTGCTGCAAGACGATGGCTCAGGCTTCACTTGCAGGATTATGGCCCTCGTCATGTCCTTGGTCTACAGATATCGCCAGCGGAGCCCCTCGCCCTCAAACGCTATCGGATGGTTCCGGTTCGGCCCGCATCAGCCCACACCCGTTATTGTCGGTGTGGGGCATTACGACCCGATCTTTGAGGTGGTCCTTCCCTCCTTGTCCGGCCTTCTCTCCGGGTCACGAGTCGTTGTTCATCACAGGAAAATCCCAACACTGGAAATCGAGGAACCATGAACCCTCGCGGCAGCCGGCTGTTACTTTCCTCAAGTTTATGCCCGTAGAGATGGAGAAGTTGGGGGAACTGGGATGATGGAGCACGAAGGGAGATGTGCATAGTGGCGCACCAAGCCCAAGGCGCTTTCATCGGTTGTAAGCCCTGCAGGACACAGAGAATAGCCACCACTGGTGTCTACCATGCAGCCAGCCCGCTCGAAATAATGGCAGTTGACTACCCTCACCCCTGAGTCGTATTTGCTCGTCCCCTCAGGCCATGACAAGGTGCCGAGGGCCTGGCAGGAGTGTGGGAAGTGATTTCGCTGCACGCTTACGCCAAGAAGACGATCTCTCGTCTTCCCGTGCGGGCCAAATGCGCCGAAAGAGATAGCAGTAAGGCATGTAGGATATATAAAAGAGAAAGGCGGGAGCTTGACACCCGGGACACGTTCCTCCTTGTGTTGGCCAAGCCCCTGGTCGCTTTATCCAGGGCGTATTTTCCCGCAACCCCTCCAACCGCGATTCCCAGCTACGGGTTACCGATATCAGGGACCACCAGGTGACGCGAACGCACCATGGGCGGCGGGACTTCCCTTTGGGCCGCTCCTGAGTGGAGGACGGACCCCCGAGATATCTTCAACCGCCAGTTGATCCTTGTCACCGTGGCGATAGCGTTTGCGGGCTCCAGTTATGGCTTTGACACGGGCAACATCGGCGGCGTGCTAAAGCTGCCGGCGTTCAAGCATGCGTTTGGGCTGGATCTTCTTTCACAGGAAGAGTGCGACAAGCGTGGTGAGTTGTTCGTAGGTTTTGTTTT